GGAGTTACCGTGCTAGGAATATACCGGTCCCCTTCACATACTAATTCCGAGCCCTTCACGGACTCATTAGACCGACATTTAACATCTTTGAAAAATTGTATTAATTTAATTATAACCGGGGATATTAACATTAACCTGATTGACAGAAATGATGCTCCGCAGCAGGAGCGTAATAACCGGCTTTACTATTTAAACATGCTGGCTATGCACGGCTTGCTACCTGGCCATGTACTACCTACACGGTATGGTAATTGTCTGGATCACTTTATGCTGAGACTAGACAAAAATAAACATTCCGCAAATATAAATGTAATAAATACTTCTGTCACTGATCACTCCACCATATTCTTAAGGCTCTCCAATATACCAAAGTCAGGTGCTTCCACTAAGACAAAAACATTCATTGATTACGATAAGGCGATAGCTACTCTAAGAGATAGCACATTGGTGGCTGACTTAACTTCATTAAACAACCCCAACATGATTATAGAGCTCTTACTAAGTAAAATAAGACAAACCTTAGATTTACATACAGTCACTAAGATCATTACATGCAAATATCGTGTAGTTAAGCCATGGATGACTTTGGGCATTCTACGATGTGTCAGAAATAGGAATAACATGCAGAAAAAGCTAAAATTAGACCCTGATAATGAAATTTTAAAAATAACTTACCGTAGATATCGAAATTATTGTAATAAATTAATCAGAAACCTAAAAAGAAATTATAATAAACAGCAACTAATTCTAAATAAAAACAACTCAAAAAAATTATGGCAAACTGTCAACAATATTACAAATCGGAATAAAAATAAAAGCGACAATTACGAACTGCTCCACTGTAAAGAAACAGCACAAGAGTCTATAGATCATTGTAATCAATATTTTACCCAAGTTGGCAAATCACTAGCAGAAGGTATCCTTGCACAACAACCCGCATACAATTGTTCTGACAAAACTACTTCGAATTATCCTCACTTAACTTCATTTGTATTAAGAGATACTGACAATGATGAGGTTCTTAATGTCCTGATGGGGTTAAAATCAAATAGTGCTCCAGGCTGGGATGGCATTCCTACCCAATTCTTAAAGCTAACTGCTGATATAATTGTCCCTATTATTGTTCATTTGATCAATCTATGCTTTGCTCTAGGTGTCTTTCCAGATGCACTGAAAATCGCTGTAGTTACCCCAGTGTACAAAGGAGATGATAAAACGGATATAAGCAATTACAGGCCTATTTCTGTTTTACCACCTATTGCCAAAATACTGGAGAAAATAATTAATAAACGTTTAATGAACTACCTTAATACATTTAATATCCTCTCCCCAAGTCAATATGGCTTTAGACGGGATTTATCGACAGAAGATGCCGTGTTGGATCTCACATCGCTTATTACTAATGCTGTGGATAAAAACAAAAAATGTGCTGCAGTGTTTTTGGATATGAAAAAGGCATTTGACTCAGTATCAATTACAGACCTTATCGACAAGTTGGAGAAAATAGGCATAAGAGGAATTCCCTTGAAATTATTCAAAGACTATTTATGCAATCGAAAACAGAGTGTAAAAATAGGAAAACACCAAAGTGAACAATGTGAAATCACCTTCGGAGTTCCGCAAGGAAGTGTATTGGGGCCCACTCTATTCCTTGTATATATTAATAATTTATGTAACATGGATATAGAAGAGGGAACAATGTTCACTTATGCTGACGACACTGCTGTCGTTTTTGTAGCTGACACCTGGGAGGCTGTTAAAAATAATTCCCAAAAGGGCCTTGCAAGAATAGCTAAGTGGCTCAGCGATAACCTTTTGACCCTCAATACCTCTAAAACTAACTATGTATGCTTCTCCAATTATAACTCCTCTCAACCACCTCCGACGTTTGCTATTCAAATACATACTTGTGGCTCACCTCATTCTATAATATGCTCATGCGATTTTATTAAGCGGCAAAACTGCGTAAGATACCTGGGTACTATGGTAGACCAACGCCTATCATGGCGCGATCATATAGAGCTAGTTATGGCTAGAGTAAGAAAACTCATATGGTTATTTAAAAATCTAAGACACGTAGCTGACTCGGCCCTCCTAAAACAAATTTATACTGCTCTTGCGCAGTCAATATTAATATACTGCATTCCGGCCTGGGGTGGTGCCATTAAAACAAAATTCCTGGAACTGGAGAGAGCACAAAGGTCACTACTCAAAGTTATCCATTTTAAGCCATACAGATTCCCTACGGAAATGTTATATGCGGTTAGCGATCTTCTGTCAGTACGTAAGTTGTATGTACTGCAAACTACTCTTAGAACCCATCGACATATTGGATATGATCCTAGTATTTTGAACAGACGTAGAAGGCATAATGTGGCACCTTTACCAACTTTTAAAACTAAATATGCTCATAGACAGTACTGCTACCAGTCTGCTAACTTATATAATAAATTAAACAAGGAATTAAATCTATATAATATGAATAAATATAAATGTAAAATAACTATAAATTGTTGGTTAAAAACTCTAACCTATGAAGAAGTTGAATCTATTATCTAAGAATTACTATTCTAAAGTCTACTTTTATCTTACACTCTAAAAGAACACACACACTCAAACATATGATACAGACATATACACACATACCTCATACACACTCACTCACACACACTTACACTCTCACACATCAACATACACTTAACTGAATACAACGAACACCCCTCAATTTATCACTCATACACGATGCATCTTTTAACTTGTATAAATATTGTTTTGTTTTTGTAATATTATTCCCTTTTGTCTAAACTTACATACCTAATTAAGTGTACCTAGGAAGAGCGGATACTCCAAACACAAGTATATTATACATACTTAAATGGAGGCTCCAGCCACATGTTGTTACCATTGTAAGTGATTGAATAAATATTTTTTCATATTTTTTCATTTTTTCATTTTCTCAAATCAAGGGCGTAGAAAGGAAGAAAAGAACCGGCAATAAACTCTCCGCCACTCTTTTTAATCGCCCAGTTTTTTGTTTTACACAACGTTTGTATGGAGCTGCAACCATGTTCCACGTGACATCTTATGTAATTAATAACAATAAAATAAATTAAAAACAAAGATTTGTCCTCTACCAGCAGGAGGCATGGTGAAATAGGAGCACGCACTTACATTCTCGTGGGAACAACACTCAAATATTAATCATATTATACTATTCATGTTTCCTGCAGAAATGCGACAATATTTCCAAAACAACTGAACCTTGTTGAAAATTGGACTTTTCTCTAAGATATACCAGATCTATATCGTGGACAATATCTTTTAATTCCGTGTAATTTGTTGACAAACACACCGACAAACATCATCATTCACCTTGATGGCTGGAAGTCTTTCACAGTCCGCTTCACAAGAGACTTTCCAACTGTTCAAAGTAAGAGTGTACTCCTCCCTCAAAGGCCGGCAACGCACCCACTATAAATGGGTGTCCATAGGCTGCGATGACTGCTCTTTTTTGGGCGTCCCATAGGCTCCTTTGCCTGGCTGTTCTATAAAAAAACTGATAAAATTTAGCATCACATTTACATTACAAATCGAACAATGTCACAAACATCAAAATAATAACCTCCTTTTTGAAGTTTGTAAAAGATAACTTATTCTGTGGTTAAGGTTAAGGGCAAAAAAGTATTAAAATTAGGCACATCGCTTGCACCAAATTGACAATTGACACGCATACTTAATAATGACATCCTGGTGGAAGCCAAGATGGGATGTGAACGGTTTTATGCAATACAGTCCAATGTGTTCTTATTTTAACCCTTAATAACCTAGAGTTTCAATTTTGATACTAATATTTTAGACCGAATATTCACATTACTATTAGTTTTTTTTTATATGTTGGCTGTATGTATTTTACTGTTGTATAGTATTCTATCCAACGAAATTAAAAAAAAAAACAAATGTCATTATTGTTTTATTTTATCTGTGACATATTACTTGCGCGGCAAAGTGAACAAGTAAACACATTTTACTAAAAGTTTTGTTGAATATAAATTTGATATATTTTCTTTTTCTGAAGAATATAAATACTTTTGAGGCAAGTGAATACATTATTTTCGCTATGATATAATTATTTTTAGCAAATGCATGTTTTACTTGAAGAAATTAGTGCTTTTTTTTTGGTATCAATATTGATACTTCAGGCATTCCGCCCTACATAAAACCTACCTACTAACTCTTTAGCTATAAAACTTTTTGAACTTTCGTTTCATATTTTTTCTGCATAGCTTGGTGTGGGGATTACTTTTGTTTTTATTTATTATAGAAATTTATCCAAAATGCGGCCAGAAGAGATTGAGAACATATTGAAGCGGTTAGAAAATGGTGAAATTTCGGAAGACGATTCCACCGACAATGAAGATGACATAGACTATTATTCGAGCCAAAGAGATCGTCTGATGGAGCTAGATGATGAAGAGGATGTAGGTAATTTTCCCACTGACCCAAACTTGGATGCAGATCCGCCTGCAGCAAACGTAGATACCGACATGCAACATAATTTAGAGACTGTTGAACGAAACCCAACTCCTACAACCAGCAGCCAGAACAACCTGCAAACTGCACCTTTCAACTCTAGAAACTTAGTGTGGAGAGTAAAAAATATGGATTTAGTCCAAAATGCTTTTCAGTTTGCTGGAAATACTGTGTATTCACAAGAAATTATGAACTTAGACACTCCATTTCAGTTTTTTCTTATTTTTTCGGAGACATTTTGAGATTTCTAGTGGACGAGTCAAATAAATATGCCTTCCAAAAGAATCCCAACTTTACAGAACCTGTAACTGTCTTAGAATTACGTAAATTCATTGGAATTCTTATTTTTACTAGTGTATATCATTATCCTAGTGTCCGGTCATACTGGTCAAACATTACAAAGTTTGAACCCATAGTACAAACAATGAATCGCAACAGATTTGATAAAATTAGAGAAATTTTTCACATGAATGACGACTCTAAACATTTGCCCATTGATCACCCCCAGCACGACCGACTGCATAAAGTAAGACCAGTGATAGACTATTTGAACAAGAAATTTATTACTTTACCATTTGAGCATCGTCTATCACTAGACGAGCAGATGTGTTCCACAAAAAATGAAACATTTTATGAAACAATATTTACCCAACAAGCCCCATAAGTGGGGATTCAAATTATACGTGTTATGCTCTCTGTCTGGTTATGCCTACAGTTTTGAGATTTACTCGGGAGCTAAGGACATGGACCGTTTACCTGGCGAACCAGACCTCGGAGCTGTGTCGAATACAGTTATTCGATTGCTACGACCAGTACCAAGGCATGTCAATCATATAATTTATTTTGACAATTTTTATACGAATATTCCTCTGGTACATTACTTGACCAACGAAGGTATTTATTGTCTTGGAACAGTACAGAGAAACAGGCTTGGAAAGTCGTGCAAGTTGCCGGAGAAACGGGAGATTATGAAATCCAACGTACCCAGAGGAACATATCACGAAAATGTGGCCTCTCACGAAGGCCTAGAATTGTCGGCCACAAGTTGGAAAGACAACAAACAGGTATTATTACTATCCACGTATGTTGGCGCTGAACCAGCGGATACTATAACCCGCTACGAAAAAAACTAAAGGCCAATATTCAAATATCATGTCCTCGGGTTGTAAAAGAATATAATGCACACATGGGCGGCGTTGATTTGATGGATAGCTTCATTGGTCGATATCGCATCCGCATAAAGTCGAGAAAGTGGACAACGAGGCTCTTCTACCACTTGTTAGACATGACTGTCATCAATGCTTGGGTACTGTACAAAAAGGTAAACACAAGGAAAGGAAAACTTCAGAAGAATATTATGAAGTTAGCAGATTTTAGAACTGAGCTTGCCGATACTTTATGTAGATATCAAAGTCACTCAAAAAATAAAAGGGGCAGACCCAGTACCAACAGTCAACAAGACAATACAGTACCCTCTAAAAAACCCCGGACAGGTGCACAAGTACTACCCCCAACTGACGTGCGTTCCGATTGTATTGGCCATGAAAAAATATTTATGGAGTCTAGGAATAAATGTAAATTTAGTAATTGTAGGAAACTTACCTCCTGGTTCTGTAAAAAATGCAAAGTATCGTTATGCGATAATAAAAACAATCGATGTTTCGCATTATTTCATGCATAGGTCATTTAAGATTTCTTTATGGCCATAATGCCTGAAGTATCAAAATTGATACCTGTTTTTTTTTTTAAATAAATATGTAAAATAAATATTGTGATTTATTTAGCTATTTTTCCCTTCATCTAGACCCTCAAGCAAATACAGTAATATTTAAAAAAGAAGACTCGCGTAAATCAGGCTACTAAGGGTTAAAACATAAATTTAAAACAAACTTCAAAACTGTGGCGCCCATTGTTCGATTCTGATTGGTCGACATCATCTTTTTTTCCTACGCTTCGACGCGTTGACACGTAACATCCGTCAAAGTCCATAACGTCCGTTTGACCAATCACAATCACTGCAAATGAGTTTCATCATCGGACGTCGAGGTAGAATACGAAATTCCACCTTATCACCTCGACATCCGTCCAACAACTAAGCGATTTTTAAGGCAGTTTTTACCTCTCACCACCACTATGTGGAACCTACCTACCAAAGAATTTCCGAATCAATACGTCTTCAAGAAATACGTACCTATTGCTAAAAGGCGGGAAACGCACAACGCGTGCCCTCTGGCATTGATTTGTTTAAAAAAAATTATAAACTACAAGTTTTTTTTAAATTTAAAAACCGCCCGATCATGTCAAATGTCAAAACATATTTAAAACATTTAAGCAGTTTATTAGTAGTAGATTAAACTACGTTTATTTTATCTCTGGTAGTAAGAATGCGGCTCTTAAATTTTACTGGTATTTAAAATAAGGAATGGAGACTTACTGTGGTATCTTAGAAGATAAGCAGGAAGCGGCGTAAACCGTCAAACGGTCTAATTATTTCTAAACAGCATAATTACGACTTGTTAACATAAATTAATTGATAATCTAATGCGTCCTACGTGACATAGTCCAGCAAGAACGTTTACAAAGAGTCCCCTCGTGAGTTGTGTGCTGCGATACTGCAGAGGAAGTTGCATTGATCTGGATAAGCGCCTGCGCGGCTGCGCCTTGCTAAGTTCTCATGTTATTTTCACACATGTATATAACATATTTTCATAAGTATCTGATTGTCCTGCTTGTAATGTGTGATATTTGAGAGCAAAAATAAAATAAAGTAATTATGAAACTGTAAATGTAATTAATATTAATTTTTACTTTTAAAAATTGTAAATACTGTATATTTGACTGTTATGTTTAGGTAAAAGTATAAAATTAAATTAAAAATAAAATACATCGCTTCTTTTAAATTAAACAATTCTCGTGTCGTAATCCAAAAAAATGGCCTAAACTTTTATATTTGTCGAATGTTTGATTAATAAAACTTCTTTAATATATATTTCATGTCGTTATCTCTTCTTGTCTTCCTTTTTTTGTGTAATAAAAACAATTGTCCCACTCCAGAAAGCTGTATATTGAAATATTAAATGAATAAAAAAAAATGTATAAATGGTTTTTTTAACGACTTCAAGTTGGTACCCCGCAATCCCAAGCTTACAAATTGAGAGAATTACATCGAAATTAAAGAACCTCGTGACCGGCGTAGTAAATTAAACCTGTACTTTACACAGACCAATTTGACTTAGGTTCCTTCAAGAAAAGAGTGCACCAATTCTTGTAAGGCCGGCAACGCACATGCGAGGCTTCTGGCAATGTGAGTGTCCATGGAAAGGGGTATCACTTAACATTAGGTGAGCCTCCAACCCGTTTTTTCAACTGACTCTGTCTATGGCCCTCTTTCTCCATTCGTTTCCTGCTACCGCTTCTATTCTTCTATGTTCTACGTTTGGCAGTCGTATGTAAGAGTAGTTAAGATACAAGCGTCCAAGACAATTTTCTTGAGGTGAAGAGGAAATTGACCTTTTATGATTTCCTTCATGGACCAAAACTTTTTTCCAGCTCATGTTAATTCGCCGCTCTACCTCAAGTATATAAACAGTTATATACCTGTGTAAATAACTGTTTACCCAGGTATATGTAGTTTTTTACATATTCCTGGTACTCGTTTATGTTCTTTACATACTCCAATCGATAGCGAGAAAATATTGTCATTAAATACTGTTTAAAGGATCTATATTTCCCACCAGTAGCGAGAATTATCAAGTACATAATAGCTGTGTTTAACTTTGTATTATAACGGCTGTCCAATTCACCTGTGACCTGACATTATCGTTAATAACAGGACAAATACAAGGCATTAGTGCTTCGCAAACATTACCTATTTATAACTTGACACCTACACTACAATACACAATGAACCTTCTGTATTTTTCCCAGGGTTTAGCTGTAAGAGGTGGGGTTAGCATGTTCATGCATTGACGTCTTAAAAACTAATGCCATTTCGATTTTTTTTTATGTTACTGGTAGCCTTGAATTTGCTAGGTTTTGCAACACACCTGGGCCCCAGATGAGTTCGTAAAGCTGTGCTCTCATGGATTGTGTCTCATTAACTAATAAACAATCTATTTATTTATAGATTTATATATCTGTTTCATGTTCATTTGTCTGTCTAATAAGCATCTAGGTGACACACGCCGTCGACTTTTTCGGACTAAGGCCGGTTTGTTCACGATATTTTCCTCCACTGTTCCGTCCGTAAATGCGCATAGAAAAAAGTCCATTGGTGCACAGCCGTGGATCGAACCTACGACCTCAGGGAGGAGAGTCGCACGCTGAAGCTACTAGACCAATACGGCTCTAATGTTACAAAATAGTAATTCACTAACGTCTTAGAGAACAATTATAAAGAATTTTTGAGGTAGCATTTGGTTAGAATTCGAAATTAAATATTCAACAGTGGGGTTTACAGTCCCAAATATATATATATAAGCATTGACAAGGGCTTTTCGGGTATTTGGTAGAGATAGCTAATTACAAAGTTATGTAAAACATCATGTAACTTTCATGCCATAATGTTTAGATAATATTCTCATTTATCTCTTTCATAGACGTATAGAAAATAATGTTTTTATCAATAAAAAAATCTTTGTATTTTAAAAACGCCTCAAAATCTATTTCATAGCATTGTTTATCTACCTCTCACCACTGACAAATATTATGTAAAGTGGGTGTTCCATAGATTCGTGGGAACGTTCATTGCTGTGTGGGATTGCTTCCTTTTACACTGTAATCATAATTATGAGCGATAAAGATAAACATTTTTTAGGTCTGTATTAGAAATGCTACGCATTGGTAAAATAATTAAGTGTTTTTGTTTATTAAAAAAATATTTAAGTTCTATTGCTTAACACGAAACCTTTGCTTAATAAATTGACTAAATTCCGCAGGCAGACTTGACTTAATAAAACAAACAGGTGCAAAAATATATAACATACAGTACAGGTTACATATTTGTCACAGGACTTAAAAATAAAATATCATTATTTAATAGCTATATACAATAACATTCGGCTTTATAAAACGAACTTAATAATAATTATTATTACACTCAAGGCCGTTCAAGTGTTACGTTAGCACTATAGGGGGAGGGAGTTTTTGTTTTTCTTATTTGATGATTACGTCAACAGTAATGATTTACTTTTTTACACATTTTACGCACATATTGTCTATGCTTGAAAACGACATGCATTTTCGAGGATTCCTACAAAAAATTAATACGTTTATGTACTATTATTTTTGAGAGCTTTGCTTACTTTTGTTGACAAGAGGAAAGTGGGGGGGATAAATTGCGGTAAATCTGCTTTCGTAATACTTGAACGGCCCCCTACAGCTAATATAAATAAATTATATCAAACAATTATACTAACGATATAGCTAAAGAGGTTCAAAACATTTACGAAAGGAAAAAATCAATAAAAATATAATAGCAGATAAACTTTTGATCGAACATACATACAGATTACAGACACAACATACGAACAGACTATTAATTCAGTTTTGTAACACACAATTACATCGTAAAAACAAATTGAATATTTAAAATCGTATCTGTATACGACAAATCACAAAACTTGTTAACAAATAAATTTCTGACCGGCAATTATGGCGGCTAAACGACAAACGTGTTGACATATGACATGAGCATTTACGAGCTGTCGAATCGATGTCAAATATTATCTGTGATTTAAATGCATGACGCACTGTTTGTTGGAATTGAAATTTCATATCTTGGCTTCAAAAATGTATAATTTGGATTTTACGATCAAATATGCTGTTAGACACTATACAATGAGAGATTGATTATCTAATAACGACATATTAATTGAGATATTTATATGTTCGCAGATTAAATTGACAGTAGCGATATTCTTTATTTTTTTTTCTCGACATTATTGTATCAAATAAACTTGTTATCATTATTAATATAACAAAAAAACCCATACTAAAAAAAACGGATTTTTATCTTAAAATATGAGAATAAAGAATAACAATTTAATATATAGTTTCTACAACCTTCTGTCAATCTTATCAAATAGCCTTTTTGTCTTAGAACTTAATAATATCAGTACTTATATATATAATATAATTTTAATTGCTATTCATTCGGCTTCATAAAACGAAATTAATTATTATTATCTTCTCAAATAGCCTATTTATTTATTGTTGAATTTAATTTGTTTGTACAAAGGTATTACTTGAGGAGTACCCTCTTAAATTCAACATCTACGAAAGAGCGTGCCAATTCTTTAAAAGTGGCATTGAGAGTGTCCATGATATGAGTATGAGATACTCATAGTATCACTTAACACCATCAGTTGAGCCTCCTTCCCGTTTTCTTTTGTTGTATAAAAAATTTCAATGGCTTATTGGTAAAATGAACCTAGGCTTCGCTTCCCGGAGAAATAGAATATTTTCGGCTTGGTAGGATTAAAAACGATCTATGAAACTTACGTAATAACATTATAAACCAATTTTAGTTAAAACTTTAAACCATAACAAGCAAATAAGCCTCAAGGAAAACGATCTAGTTTGTGACCACATAAAACGTATTGAATTAAAAAAGGCAAAAAGGTAATAATAGGTAAGGAAATGGGCTCAGGGATGTGGCCCTCTAATTAGGCTCCCACCGGA